GGCCGAGACCAAATGAGGGGGGGGGGACATATCATTGAGAGAGTGTACATTATAATTACCCCCCACATTTGAGAATGACAACACCCAAAGCGATCCAGTAAACATTTTTTTAAAGTTTTGATCGGTTTATAAATTATTTTTAACCATTTCTACAATTTGAATGAATGAAAACGAGTGGAGAAATAGAGATGACATGTGAATGACCAAACGCAATATAATCATTATTTACACTTTCATCACGAATAAGCTGACAGAGAAATGATTATCTTTATAATAATGCAGAACTTGTGTGGAGTTAAATGAAACAATAAATGTCGCAGTTAGGATAAAAAATTAATGGGGCCAAAATATTATTTGGAGTCTAACTATTTTTCGTAAGACAAAATAAAATTAATAAAAGCCCCACTTTTTCTCACTTGAAAAAAAAAAAATGTGTTTGTGAAAATGTTTACATAAAAGGATATCTGAAATACCTTTCCTAGAAATATTTGCCTCGCCAGCTCCAAAAATAGAATTCTTGTCACTTTTTTTAATTTTTTTTTTTAAATTGAAAAATTGGGTTTTCCGGTGAAAAAGCTTTTATGTAAGTTGCTAATCTTAAAAGGTATAAAAAGGGGAATAGCTTGATAGCAATATTAAACAATTTATGCCGCCTGCTCGAGGGAAATGTCATGGTAAGTAAAGTTAAGTTATGATAGGTATTCATTATTGAAATATGATTTGAAAATTTTAAGATTAGCTTATATATATATATATATATATATATATATATAGCGGTATAACCCGGCATTTGCCGGGATAGCATTCGGCACGAAGGAACTTCTACAGTCTACAGCCTTATAATTAATGGGGCCCCGTTTCATTTTTCCTAATATAAGCTATATATAAATAGCAACGGGCTTAGAAAACGCTATAGGTTCTATATGAATTAATGGATCTCGGCCTAGCTTTGTTCATTACCCTTCTTAGTCTGCATTGAAATATCGGTGGATTAAGAAACTAATTTTATCCAATCTAGAATTTTCCAGAAAGCTCGATAATTTTAAAAAAGCTGTAATTAGGGCATTTTTTAAATTCATTTGAATGGGACAAATTTTAAATTTTAACTTCATAACTTATCTGAATGATTTTTATAGGGCCCCCATCACTAATTCGGTACAGTTATGGAATGAGCACAACGGGGGCCTCTCTTTCAACTTAAATGTACTATCTATAGTTATAGCAATGCATTTAAGTGTCTAATTTTTTTCTTATTCGAAGAATAACGGAATCCCACTGGGAACTGGTAAACTAACGGGAGCGGCATACCGACAGGATTGGGAGACCACCGGGATCGGAATAATTATAAGGCTGTACACTGTAGAAGTTCCTTCATTCTGATTGCTATTCCGGCAAATATCCGCTAGTATATATGAACATGAAAAAAAAAATTGTTTGTTTGTGGGTTCGTTTGCGGCTTTCTTCTTCTTCTCTTCTTATGTTTGAGGGGCCCCACGATCAATTTGTTGATCATTATGGCTCCTGGTTTGAATTCAGAGTTTGCCTTTTCTTTGTTGGGTTGCCGTCCAGGGCTAACGTGTCCCATCCACCAGGATGCTTTTAAATGGACTGAAGGATCCTGACCAAACTTGGCACACATATCCATCATTATCCAGAATCAAACACTGGTGGGTTGTGAACTTTTATATCATTCCGTTTGGGGAATTCATTTTTTGTTTCTAAAATCAGCTATATAAATAAAATTAACAACAAATACTCCTATATGAGTGGCTGATAACAATACCCTTCATGGTCAATACTGAAATATCGGTGGATTTAAAACTAAGAATATCCAAGCTAGAATTTCCCAGAAAGTTCGATAATTTAAAAATGCTATATCTAAAGAATTTTAAAACCGATTTTATTGGTACAAATTAAATTTCAACGCCATAATTTATGTCAAGGATTTTTTGGGGGCCCCCAAAACTGGTATTCGTTACAATTATGGAATGGGCCCCCTGCTCAGGCCTCTTTTTCAACTTCAATGAACTATATTTATAGTAGTGCATTTAGTTGTATAATGTTCCGTATTCGGAGAATAATTACTTAGAAAAGAAATGTTTTTACAAGTTTCGAGGAGGATATTAAATTTAATCTAGAATGTTTCAGAATGTTCTATATAATTCTACGGGTGTGTATAATGGTATCTAAAAGTTTATTGTAATGTAAGTTTAGTGTAACGGACTATGTTTTCACATGAAACACAGAGATGTAGCATGAGTGAACAGTGAATGGTGTTGACCATGTCCACGAGGACAGTGTATTGTATTTTTGAGAAGCAAATGTGAGCTACACGTTTTTGGAGAGTAAATTATGTTTTTGTCAAAGCGGTCGTTTCCACGCTTTGCTGGTAATAAAATGGGCAGTAGAGTTGATTGAAAGTAGAGAAGAGTCAGAGTTAGTCGGAGTTGAGTTAGAGTTGAGATGTAGTACAGTTGAGCTGAGTTATAGCAGTGTGAGGACGTGTCTTTCTGAGTGATGGAATATTATATATATATATGTGAAATGATTACATTCATGCAAGGATTATTATTAATATTATCTGTGTAAATTGTGATTCAATAAAGTACTGTAAGTTTAACCAGGATTCAGTATTCTTATTTGCGTGCCTGGATAACAAGAGGAAGAACGATGAAGTCTTAGCCGGCATTCTGAATTATTAACTTAAAACAAGTAACCATGCTACTGACATAACCCACAGCATAAGAAATAAGTTAGAATGATAATGATGTCAGAGTATATGTGTTTCCTGGGGATTTCCTCTCAACATGCATTTCATAATCCTACCGGGTAATAAACCCAACGAGCAACAGGATCCTAAAGGGAAACGAGTAAACTGGAACCCACCGGAAAAGCGATCCCTTCGCGTTACGGGATCAAGGGACCCAAGCAGGCAAGGTATGCCACCGGGAAACGGGAACCCACCGTGATCGGGAACCCACCGGGATGGGGATCACAATGGGAAACGCGATACCGACGGGATCAAGAATCCACCGGGATCGGAAACCTACCGGGATCAGAATACCGACGGGATCGGGTACCAGCCGTTATCATGACCCCCCCCCCCCGGTACCGGGAAACGGGATCACACCGGGAAACGGGATCCCGACATAAGCGGGGGAACACAAGGAGGGGGATCCTATAGTGAGCGCAATACTATGATCGGAAACCTACCGGGATCAGAATACCGACGGGATCGGGTACCAGCCGTTATCATGACCCCCCCCCCGGTACCGGGAAACGGGATCACACCGGGAAACGGGATCCCGACATAATCGGGGGAACACAAGGATGGGGATCCTATAGTGATCGTAATACTACCGGATCGTGATCCAACCCGGATAAGGATTCCACCGGGATCCGGATACAGATGGTATGGATAACCCAAAGGGGTCAGAATACAGACTGGATCGGAAACACACAGGTATCTGGATCCCACTGGTATCGGGATTCTACCGGAATCGGGAACGAAATGGGGTCGGGATTCCTCTGGAAAACGGGATAGCATCGGAAAACGGGATCCAATCGGGAAACGGGATCCCATTAAAATCCCTCAGGGGTCGGAATCCCAACGGGGAACGAAATGTTTACAAAAGTTGTTATAAATGAAATGTGTTTACTTGGTGCTTTATATCAATGTTAATTAAAAGGCTATGAAGTTGTTTTTTTGTCTGAATGTAATCCTGTGCAACGCCGGGTATGTTGGCTAATATATATATATATATATATATATATATTATTATATATAAGCTGTATAAATACGTTCGCATGTATGTCACTACAACAGCGATCATAATATTGAGGAAATCCTAAATGGGACACATCATGTTCATATCAGCAACATAAGACTGCTTAGAGCTTCTCTGACTTTTGGCTAAGATCAAGGCGTTGGGTTTGTTCTCATCGTGCCGGGGTACCAAACCTGTGGGTGGTACGTGATGTCTCGCCTTGCGTCCGGCGAAAACCTGGATGGTCGGTAGCGAGAATGGGAGAGCCACACGGCCAAGATACCTGTAGGGCAGATTTTGAGGGGGACTACTCTAGTGTTGTAGTACATCTGGTGTAACCCTTAAAATTGTTTTTTTTTTAAATCTAAAAATAAGACTTTAATTTTTTGATTGTGACTTCCACATCACACACACACGATGGTCTGGTGGTTGACCAAGGGTATACTGGTTGAGCAAGGTGTATGGTGGTTGGACAAGGGTAAATTGGTTGAGCAATTATATAGTAGTTACAGCGTTTTACATAGGTACGCAGGTTGACCAAGGGTACGCAGGTTGACCAAGGGTACGCAGGTTGACCAAGGGTACGCAGGTTGACCAAGGGTACGCAGGTTGACCAAGGGTACGCAGGTTGACCAAGGGTACGCAGGTTGGGTACGCAGGTTGACCAAGGGTACGCAGGTTGACCAAGGGTACGCAGGTTGACCAAGGGTACGCAGGTTGACCAAGGGTACGCAGGTTGACCAAGGGTACGCAGGTTGACCAAGGGTACGCAGGTTGACCAAGGGTACGCAGGTTGTCCAAGGGTACGCAGGTTGAACAACGGTGTAGTCGTTGAATTTGGGCACACAGGGTGACCAAGGGTACACAGGGTGACCAGGGTATGGTGGTGGACCGAAGGTGCCTTCATCTACTATCCAACTGCCTTCACACCACCCCTACTCTGTCTTTATTCCACTACCTGCATTTAACCTACCACTGCCCTTATCCCTTCTGCTTTCATCCTGTTTGCTGTCATCCCCTACCTGCTGCATTTATCCCACCCTGCCTTCACCCCACTTGTGACGTCATCCAAACTTGTGTTTTACAACAGTTTATTCTCTATGCACTGAATCAATAAATGCTCCCAACAAAATTTCGTAAACCTCACACTCGCTTTTTCAACAGGACGTACACAGATTACTGAAAAGCTTGGCGTTGTCCAGATGTCCCAAATAAATTGTAGACGTCATTAACATGGAAGACTCCATCAGCGAACCCATTGCCGTCATCGGGGCCGGGTTCAAGGGCCCAGGGGCAGATAATCTAGAGGAGCTGTGGGGAGTTCTCGAACGTGGCGAGAATCATATCGTTGACATCCCCAAGGAGCGCTGGAACAACGATGCATTTTATGACCCAGACCCACAGGCCGTCAGCAAGTCTTACGTCAGGAAAGGAGGTTTTATGAAAAAGTAAATGTATTTTTTAAATTTAAAAATATATATATATATATATACATGAAGTCTGTAGTGATAGAAATCTTGTTAGGTATCTAATTTTAAGCTTAAGCTTAATGAGCACTATTTACTAATTGGCCAAAAAAAATATCTTAGTTGTCAATATAAGGTAACTTTATATTAACTAAGGTACAGCTAAATGATAACCAAACATTAAATTGATGTCACAAAAACAAATAGATAAGCAGACGGAGACATAAATATATAACAGTGGGATGAAATGCAAAATTTTGCTGTACAAGTATTTAGAGAAACACTAATTTGCTAAAATGTAACGTTGTTTTCTTTAGATTACTTGCAAAATTGACCATATTTAGGTATCACAAACTGTCTATGTTATATTATTTTATGCAACTGTACTTTTTCAATTCGGAAAGGTGACGCAAAAATGGTCTGGGCATGTACAAAATCTTTTTGAAAGAAATTAAATACTTTAACGTGCCTTATAAAGAAACTTGATTTTTATTGCATAGAAAAAGAGTTCGTAATCAGAAATAGCTAATTAGCTAAGTAGATATCAAATTCACTAATACAATATCTTAAATTTTCAGCCCTTTTGCATTCGACAACCGTTTGTTTAACATAAACGACATGGAGTCTGACCAGATGGATCCCCAACAGAAACATGCCCTGGAGTGCACATACAGAGCCATGGAGCATGCTGGCTTGACCAGGAACCAACTGAAGGGCACCAACACTGGCGTTTATATAGGTGAGCGGTTTAAATATACGTATATGTATATAATCCATTATGCTATTGTAAGGAAACCTTGCTTGCTCTCTGCTAACCTTCATCTATATCTGGTATTCACTAAGGAAGCAACTCATGCGATAACATTTGATGATTATAATCGTGTTCTTTATTGGGCTGACACTTCGCTTATACTTTCTCTCCTCTCACAACTCTGACTGCCCTCTTCCTATCGTTGGAGCTCTCCTTCACTGTCCGCTTCTCTGTCCGGCCGAGTTCTGTCCAGTCCTGTCCAGAGGTCCCTATTTATAAGTCCCTGGTCCATAGAGTTTCTTCCCCAGGTCTGTAATCTTACGCGCCCGCCCCTTTGATCAGTCGGTCACTACCCCACCCCTTTCGCCACCAGGTTACCAACCCGTCGTCCTAGGGAAATACCCTGGTCAGATGGCCAGTACCCTGCTGTAAGATCTGACGCGCCCGGCCCTTTGATCAGTCGACCGTGGTCCGAACTCTTCACACTATTAACCTACATTTACCATTGGAGAAATGTTTTTATACATGTCCTAAAGGAACATCACTCACGACCTCGTATGGACTGGCGATCGTTCTCCCGTAATACAGATGGCATGTCTATTTATCAGGCTGACTCATTTCTAAAAAAAAAATAATTTTGGTTAAAAAAAATGGAAGTCAAATCTTACGGTTTTTTAAAATCTTAATGTTGATCCACCTGAACCTACAAACCCGAACCTGTAGGTTCAACAGGCCTGACCTCTTTTAGATCACTTTGAAATATCGATAGCTAAGGTAAACCTTCACTATATAACACGAGAACTCGTGTGGTCAGCTCACTTTGTAGGCCTTTTAAGGCATTTTGCCACTTCTAAATAAAAATGATGCAACTTAAAAAGCTTGTGGCTTAAACTCTCTTCAACAAGATGCATAATACACGTCTAAATTATGCAAGTAGAAAATTATAGAGATAAGACTGACGCACATCATATTTGATCGTTCGATTGGGTCCATTGAGAAAGACCTATCTATGGGCCCATTTAGAAAGACCTACCTATGGGTCCATTGAGAAAGAACAACCTATTTGCCCATTGAGAAAGACCTTTTTATGGGTCCTTTGAGAAAGACCTACCTATTGGCCCATTTAGAAAGACCTACCTATGGGCCCATTGAGAAAGAACAACCTATTGGCCCATTGAGAAAGACCTACCTATGGGTCCATTGAGAAAGACCAACCTATTGGCCCATTGAGAAAGACCTGGGCCCATTGAGAAAGACCAACCTATTGGCCCATTGAGAAAGACCAACCTATTGGCCCATTGAGAAAGACCTACCTATGATGACAAAAAGAACAAACAAACATAATCTGTATTTCAGGTGCAATGAACTCAGACTACAGAAGTCTGTATCAGGCTCGATCCTCGGGAGTGACCAACTACACGGTCACCGGCATCTCCAACAGCATCATCGCTGCCAGAATTGCCTTCTGCTTCGACCTGCGAGGACCGACCATGGTCATTGACACCGGATGCTCTTCGGCTCTGATAGCGATTCACACGGCCTCACAAGCTCTGAGGACAGGTATTAACATCTGCTTTCACTCTCCAGCCAAACTTTTAACATAATGTGCTTAAAGTAGTTTATATCATATTTAGTACAGGGAAACTGGGCCGTGCGAGGGTTAGGTGGTCACTGTATATATGTACATGTGTGTCTGTGTGTGTGCATGCTTGTGTCTTATATATCATTTTTTTGAAGGAGCAGGTAAGGGTGGATGTTCAAACTTTGCGCCATTCGCACAGCTATGTATGGAACATATTATGACCCACAAAACCTAACAATAAATTACTAAAATGTGCCAGCAAGTAGACTTAAGTGTTGTTGGCACGCTAATGGAATTATAAATCCTAGTTAGGCGCATTGATTTAAAGATATGTGCTATAGAGTCCCAGCCTATATTTTCATCTTCTGAACGTTTAAAATTGTTCACACTTAATTGTTTTTTTAATAAATGACACTATAATTGGGGCGCAATAAACACGTATGTGCGTAAATAAGTACATACAGTTTTTGTTAATTAAAAACTAGATTACAGTCCACTCTAGTATTTCGTTGAAAACTGAGAAATATATACAAGCATTTTTAACGGTTTGACTTTGTTTCGTTTATTTGCTCTTCTATATATATTTTGAGGGCCCACGATCAATGTATTGATCATTCTGGCTCCTATTTCATGTATCCAGTTGTTTCATTTCTTGTTAACGCAACACATCGGCAATATTATATCCAAATGATTCAGGTGACTGTGACCTGGCCATCTGTGGCGGTACCAACTTCATGGTGACACCAGACGTCTTCGTTCACCTCAGCAAAGCCAAGATGGTCTCACCAACCGGCCAGTGCCATGCTTTCTCCGACAAGGCGGATGGATACACCAGAGGGGAGGGCTGTGGGATCGTTGTTCTCAAAAGGTTGTCGCAGGTAAGTGCGTGATGACCAAAAGGCTTCGTACCTTCTGTGTTTAAAAAAAAAATATATATTTTTTTTTATTTTAGCAACTCCTTAGGTGCTAAAACTAGATATTGTATCTCGTACGTCTAAACTTACCGAATGATAATAATTTTATTATTATGGTTTTATCATTATTATCATTACTTTTAATATTATTATTATTAAGATCATTATTATTATTATTATTATCATCATTATCATCATCGTAAATATTGATACTTTTTTACAAAATAAAATGACGCATGTATGTTCTGTTTCGGTCTTCTCTCATATTTCCAATGTCTGACTCTGCTATTTGTTCTCTTTGCTGACGAAGGCTTTGAGCCGATTAATACTTTCAGTTCTTTTGGTTGTTTGTTTTTTTTTTGTTCTTTTATTATCTTAAGTTGTTATTTTAATAGTGTTCTTAAAATATAATGTTCTAGGCACAAAGAGATGGCGACCGAATCTTGGCGACGATTGTGACAGGGACAAACCAGGACGGCCATTCAGTGACCCCGATTTCGGCCCCATCGAGGGAGCAACAACTCAGCCTGCTCGAAAACATGTACAGACACATGACCAATGAGGAGCTTGAGGAACTGGACTACATAGAAGCTCACGGTAAGCTGGCCCGCACTAAGTGATTTGAGTTTGACAATAGTACACATAATGTATGGATTGTATGCGAAATCACTACAAAGTGCAGTGTTAACTGGCTATGACACTCTATATTGTATTCCCCCACAGGCACGGGCACGGCAACGGGAGACCCGACGGAAGCAAACGCTCTTGGAGAATTGTTCCAACGAAGAGGTTCCAAAAAAGTACGACTGATGGGATCAATTAAAACCAACATTGGTCACTTGGAGTCTGCTGCTGGTGTGGTCGGTCTGATCAAGGTTCTTCTGATGATGGAGCATTCCAAGATTGTGCCCTCGCTTTTCTCTGAGACCCCCAACAAGAAAATTGACTTTGAAAAGCTAAAGTTGTCTTTGCCTTCTAAGGTCATGGACTGGAAAAAGGGCCAACACCTGGCTTGTGTCAATTCGTTTGGTTTTGGTGGGTCAAACTGCCACGTCATTGTTAAATCACAGAAAAAAGAAACTGAACTTAAAGGTTCTGAAATAAAACCAGCAATCGTTTGTTTTTCTGGTAAGAATGAAGCTTCGCTCCGGGGAAGTTTAAAAGACTTCTTGGAATACGACAATGTCGGCTGCCTTGATCTTCACGATGTAGCTCTCACATCAACTGTTCACAGAACCCATTATACATCACGTTTTGCGACGGTCGCATCAAATTTAGGTCAGTTGATAAGTCATCTGAAAGAAGAATTAGACAAAACTTCAACAGAGAGACGCTCGCATAAGGTTTCAACAGTCTTTGTCTTCGGCGGCATGGGTACTGCCTGGGAAGGAATGTGTAAGGAAATGATGAAAGAGAGTGAGGTATTTCGCTCTGCCTTGGGTGAGATTGATGACTTTCTGGGAAAACACGTTAGTTGGTCCGTAGTAAAACGTCTTCAAGAAGTAACACCCTCCGACTATGATGATCATCTCTTCATTCCGATTGCGATATTTGCCTGTCAGGTTGGCCTCGCTAGTCTCTGGATGAGCCTCGGAGTAAAGCCGAACCAAATTGTGGGACAGTCTGTTGGCGAGGTCGCAGCAGCTTACACAGCCGGTCTGTTGACCCTCCAAGATGCTGTTAAAGTGATTTACACAAGGTCTTTGCTCATTAGCCGAGTGACTGGAGGGAAAATGTTCGTGGTCAGGAATGTTCCGACAGATCAGGTGAAGGCGGTTGTTGGCAAGTTCCAGGGCAAAGCCTGTGTTTCAGTAGAGTACAGCCCAGTGTCGTGTGCTGTCAGCTCAGACAGTGACATTGGTGAGGAAATCAAAATTAAACTGCAAGAAGTAGGAAGAGAACAAGAGATCAGTATAACGGATCTTAACGTCCCTGCGGCCTATCACAGTCATCACATGAACGGATGCACAGCTAAACTCGGAGAGATGTTGGCCGACATTAATCCATGTCTACCATCAGAATATGAAATGGTCTCCACGGTGACTGGACAGCGTGTTGACAAGCCATTGGACGTGAATTACTGGATAGATAACTTGCGGCAGCCAGTCAGATTCTACGAAGCTGTCAAGAGAACATATTCAGAAAAGTACCCTAACCTCTTCATAGAGATTGGCCCTAAACCAATTATGTCTTCTCATTCCATGGACATCTTTCCAGACGGTAATGTGCAGATGGTGGTCTCAATGACAAAGAATCGGGAATGGGAGCAGTTTTTAGAAAGTTTGGCAAAGGCTTACATGATGGGTCATGACATTCAGTGGAAGACACTCCCACAATGTGGGAATACACTAGCTCCTGTTCCAAGATATCATTTTATGGCCAGAGAAGGATTCGTCAAGACTGAAGTTGGCCACATCACACTGAGTGGTGTCGACATCTTAAGAACATGTCATCCTTATGTTTTCAAGATCAACAATTGTGAAACAAAAGTGATTTTCTCCCAGATTACTTTCCCGTCTGTCTACGACCATAGCGTCTCAAACATGTTGATCTTGCCCGGGGCATTTTACGCGGAGATTGGTTTTGGCCTAACAAAAGTGATTAGCACGATGAAAGCAGCTATGTATACTGTGTCCGTCTTGTTTGAACAACCATTTCCTCTCCCGCGAGATCGCTGTGTTGAGTTTTCCGTAGACATGACTAAATCCCCGGACAACGGTGATGAGGTCGATAGCTACAGAGCGCTAGTTAAAAATGATGGCAAAACATTTGCTGTCGTTTCAATTCAAGGACTTAGCAGAAAAATAGAGCCCACAACTCTAAATCTCTCCCCCATTAAAGTTTCATGCCCAGAAATGTTGGAGAAAGAGGAAGTATACAATAGGCTCAAAAAGTTTGGATTTTCTTACGGTCCGAAATATTCACTCTTGGAACGTGCCCACAAGGGACCGGACCATTGCTATGTCGAGATAACGGTTCCGAACTCATTGGCTGACGAGCTGCCCGGAACCACACTCCACCCTTCTGTTATTGATGGAATGATACAGTCCTCTGTCATCCTAATGGACGAATCGGCCGAGGCGCGTGATCTGTTGCCACGATCGATTGGGAAACTGATCTCATACCAACCCATTGAGACCAACATGATCATACTGTGTCACAAGAAGGGCAGCGATGGAAGACTGACGTACTACGACATCAAGCTTGTTACTTTGAGCGGACAGTTGATTGCTCACATGGAGAATCTGGCACACGCGACGCTAGCCAGTAGGGCTCTCGTGCTCGAGAGTTCGTACATATGTGTGTGGGAAAAGAAGGAAACCATATACCCTGATCAGGAATACTCGGACACAAAAGCACTATTTATCGCGGACCATCTCCCAATCTCCGAGCCATTATACTTACAGAGCCGTTGTTATAGCTTTGACAGCATGACACGCCCTTGGGAAGTTTTCAACGAGGATTTCAAGAACAGCTGCCCAAGTTATGATTTTATCATCCTGCTCATCACGCAGACAACACTCGGAGAGTCTGAAAACGGCGAGAGCGTTCTGACTAAGGCACACAACCTCTGCATGCTACTTCAAAAGCTGTATTCGACTGCCTACGAACAGAAACTTGACAAACCGATTTACTTGTTCACCAGAAATGCATTTCCTAAGGACGGTGAGTCTCCAGAGGCGGAGCAAGTGAACCCACTGATGACAGCTATGTGGGGGCTCCTCAGATGCGCCATCCGGGAACAGAATAACATCGATGTGATAGCCCTTGATTTACAGCTTAGCGAAGACAAGATTCGCCTCTCCTTTTTGGCATCGGTTGCTGAGCTCATCAAGAAAGATCCAAAGCTTCGAGACTACCACGAGTGGAGAGTCACGGATGAGGAACTGTTTGTCAACCAGATTGTCCCTGTTGATTCTGAAGGCGACATACCTAGCTTCAGGTTGAACCATGTTGATGCATTCACCAACGCGGTCGTTGTAAGCAGTGAGCCGACAGTTCTCCGGAACAGTTTCTGCGTGTACAAGACTAAAGAACTTTTTAAATCGAACAAAAAATCCAGAGAGCTCGTGCCGTTAGAGACTGCCATTCAAAACCCGGAGCTGTTCAGCATCGTCTCTTCCTGCAGTGATATGGAGCATATCAAGTCTTTGACCGATGATGGATACCTGGTATATGCCTTGGAAAATGTGTGTACCATGAAGAAAGGATCCCACCAAAGAAAGGTGGTGTCTTGCTACCCTTGTCCGGTAGCATCAAAAATATGTGTCCCAATCGATGCGACTATTGAGCTCCTGTGTTTGCCTGATTATACACTGGGTGACCTAACAAAACTCATTGTTCTGTGGTCCATCTGTCAACAGGTCACGAAAACTTCTGTTACTATTATCGCTTCTAATGCGACAAGCTGGATTGCCAACGCTCTTTGCCATCTTCTTGGTTCAGGCGAAAAACCAAAGACGTGCAATGTCGTCTTTATGGATAGTCCTGATGAAGTTCCTCTACAAGATTGCATTATCTCCCTATTGTTGATTGACAAGTCTATGCTTTCCAGATGGAAGGAAATGGAACATCAGCCTAAAGAAATTATTACTCTTTTGGCTTTGTTTCCAAAACAGATCAAAGCCATCGCTTCTTTATGGATTCCTCTTGTAAAAATTCACTTGGTTGACACGACAGAGCTTTTCATTCCTTCAAATCTCATAACCTTAGTTCCCAGAATCAAGACCTGGTTGGAAAGAGATCCACTGACAATAAATCTTATTCTAAATTGTTTACACAGCACTTCTTCAGTGTGTTGTCGGTTTAAAGAGATCGCATCAGATCTGAGTGATCTTTTAGAGATTCAAGTGCAAAGGTCACTTCCAAAGAAGGTCAGGGCAAACAAGTCAGGACTCTTTCGTAAGGACAGCCTTTATCTGGTGGTGGGAGGGTTGACAGGTCTAGGCTGGCTGACCGCAAAATACCTCTCAGAAAATGGTGCTGGGAACATTGCATTGTTGAACAGGAGAATACCGTCTGAAGACGACAGAAAAAAGATGAAAGAGTTATGCGATGGTCAGAACTGCCACGTTGAGGCATTCAGTGGGGACGTTACAAAGATGGACAAGCTGCGGGCACTCTTTACACACATGAAGTTAAAGTTCAAGGGCAATTCTCTCAGGGGCGTTTTCTTTGCGGCTGCAGTTCTTGAAGATAATATGCTGTTCAATATGAGTTCAGATCAGTTTAAGAGCGTTTTATCACCTAAGGTAAAAGGGGCCTGGAATATCCACCTGTTAACAAAAGACATGACACTCGACTACTTTGTGTTGTATTCATCTGTCACCTCCATAATAGGCAATTTTGGACAGTCAAATTATGGCGCAGGCAACGCGTTCATGGATGGCCTGGCATTTTACAGAAGGGCTAAAAACCTTGCTGGTCAGAGCATTAACTGGGGGGCCGTTGATTCGGGACTCCTGAAAGGTAAACAGGAAGCCCAGATAAAATTGGAGGCTAAAGGATTTATTGTCATGTCCGAAGATGAAGTGGTCAAAACACTTCTGCCAGTTATCATGCTCAACTGGGCTCAGATCATGCCATGTAAATTTGACAAGCAAATCATCTTGACCAGAAGATCACAGGACACCCCCATCGCTCTGCAGTATCGTTTGGAGACCTGGTTTAAGGGTTCAAGTACCGAGAAGATTATAATACCTGAAGACACCTTGCTGAAGATGCGAACAGTGCGCGACTCACCGCGTGAGCAGCGATTGGAAGTTTACATCGGGTACTTGACTGACCTGGCCACGAAGCTCCTCAACATCTCCCCCGGAGGCCTTCACAGAGATGCAAACCTCAGCGAGCTCGGACTGGACTCCATCGTGGCCATGACGATGCTCAACAACATACGTGAACAAGCAGGCTTCGTGCTGCATCCCATTGTTTTACTGAGCGGGAGTGCGACCGTTAGCAGTATTGCTAGAGTCATGGATGACGCCTCGGTGCCTAAACCTGTTGATGTCACCAATCAAACTCCAGTCAACCAAACATCGAGTCAGCTGATGTAATTTAAAAAAAAAAAATTATTTATAAGAAATGTTTCTCCTTTCATAAATATGTAGCTTGGGTTATCCAAACTTTGATTTTGCCTTCGTAATGCAGCTCATCCACACACTTAACCATACAAAATAGTTCATCATTTCAGGATTTTATACAGGGAAAGAGTCATTATAAAAGATATTTATGGTCTTAAAATTATTATACATTGCCTTTTTATAAATATTTTTTACGTAGTCGTAGTTCATAGAATGTTTAGAAAATGTATGTACAACAATTAATGTAAGACAAACATCTTTTACAGATAAAAATCAGAATTATTTACACTCCAAAGAGAGCCCAGCTACAGTTTAGGTGAATTGGGTTCGCAATTTTTATTAAGTTTTCTATATTCTCATTTAAAAAAAAAAAAAGAAAATCTCACAGTCAAGCAGAACGCAAAGACTTTTCAAAAAAGAGGAACATCTCTAGAACTTAAAGTGAATGTCCCAATTGTATTTCAGCAACATTCACCTGGTTCATCCATGGAAGACATGGTATTTCCTCAAAATTTTATATTATTACTGAAAATCCGACTCATCTCCTATAGATGACGTAAGTATTATGTATGTCGTGTTAAAGAATGAAAAAAAAGATCACCAATAAATTTTATTTAATGCATATCGCAGTTATTATTAAAAGTTTCATTTATTTTCTTTTAATTCTAATTTATATTTAAATGAAAACGTTTATATTTCTTAATTATGGATTTTATTAATTATTGTATAGAGAAAATATATCACATTATATTATGTATGTGAATGTTTAAAATTGGGAAAATAATTTTAAAATTATTAATAAATTACATACAATGAAATGTATATCATTGACGGAGTTTTTTTTATAGCGTTTCTTGATGAGATGAGATGATCGAATTTATTTGCATAGCCATGTTAAAACAAATCTGCACAATTTTATGGAATCTGAGACTTGCCTTAATTTGTACAAGAAAACTTTCATTTGCCAACGCTTCCAGGGTGACGTTTTCGAAAAGTCAATTCTTAATGCTTGTATTTTATCCATTTTTGTTGTTTTTTTCCTTAAAACATTTTTTTTTTTCAATTTGAAGATAAATTTATAAAAATATTCACATCTTACTTAACTGACATTTTTTTGCACCAGCTCTATTTAATTCTATTATTCCGATCCATTATACTTGCTATCAACAAGATCAACCAATTTAGCTCCTCAACTTAAAATTAGGGACGTCACTTCAGGTTTTTTTCAGGGAAAATGTGTGCGGATGTGGTGGTGGGGGGGGGGGTGTGGGGACCAAAACTTGGCTGTACCATAACTGTGTTGGACCAATAAGTTTGATACATTTTTTCAGAGATCGTGCGTAGTATTATTTTTAGATCTTTATACGTCAACAACTTTCTTTGCATGTAAATTATGACGTGCTAGAGTGCACCAACAAAACTACAAAATTTTACTTATTTCGATACTTTTTTAACAAATGTTTTTTCTTGAACACTATTTCATATGGCATTCGTATGGTGTAAACGTACTGCGTCGTGTCTTTCATTTCATACAAAAAGTAACACATATGCAGAAACTGTGATCTTTGCATTAGCTAATTTCATACTAAATTAACTGCCATAAATGCAGAAACTGTGAACTTGGCATTAGCTAATTTCATACTAAATTAACTGCCACAAATGCAGAAACTGTGATCTTTGCATAAGCTAATTTCATACTAAATTAACTGCCATAAATGCAGAAACTGTGAACTTGGCATTAGCTAATTTCATACTAAATTAACTGCCCCAAATGCAGAAACTGTGATCTTGGCATTAGCTAATTTCATACTAAATTAACTTTCACAGATGCGGAAACTGTGATCTTGGCATTAGCTAATTTCATACTAAATTAACTGCCACAGATGCAGAAACTGTGATCTTGGCATTAGCTAATTTCATACTAAATTAACTGCCACAGATGCAGAAACTGTGATCTTGGCATTAGCTAATTTCATACAAAATTAACTGCCACAAATGCAGAATCTGTGATCTTGGCATTAGCTAATTTCATACAAAATTAACTACCACAAATGCAGAAACTGTGATCTTGGCATTAGCTAATTTCATACTAAATTAACTGCCACAGATGCAGAAACTGTGATCTTGGCATTAGCTAATTTCATACTAAATTAACTGCCACAAATGCAGAAACTGTTATCTTGGCATTAGCTAATTTCATACTAAATTAACTGCCACAAAAGCAGAAACTGTTATCTTGGCATTAGCTAATTTCATACTAAATTAACTGCCACAAAAGCAGAAACTGTTATCTTGGCATTAGCTAATTTCATACTAAATTAACTGCCACAAATGCAGAAACTGTGATCTTGGCTTTAGCTAATTTCATACAAAATTAACTGCCACAAAAGCAGAAACTGTGATCTTGGCATTAGCTAATTTCATACTAAATTAACTGCCACAAATGCAGAAACTGTTATCTTAACATTAGCTAATTTCATACTAAATTAACTGCCACAAATGCAGAAACTGTGATCTTGGCATTAGCTAATTTCATACTAAATTAACTGCCACAAATGCAGAAACTGTTATCTTGGCATTAGCTAATTTCATACTAAATTAACTGCCACAAAAGCAGAAACTGTTATCTTGGCATTAGCTAATTTCATACTAAATTAACTGCCACAAATGCAGAAACTGTTATCTTGGCATTAGCTAATTTCATACAAAATTAACTGCCATAAATGCAGAAACTGTTATCTTGGCTTTAGCTAATTTCATACAAAATTAACTGCCACAAATGCAGAAACTGTGATCTTGGCATTAGCTGAGGAGATAATTTTTTTTAAAAAAATCGGAACATATTAAATGGAAGTCTTGATGTATTTTAAAAAAATATAATAATTAACTTTGGTTAATTTATAGTTATTTTTTTTTTTTTTTTTTTTTTTGGGGGGGGTGCGGGGCACATTTTGCCATGTCTCGACTGCTGGCCTCCAGTACTGGTGTTGGCGTCAAAACCCTATTGGGATGAGATCGTGGCAAGAACTATTTATAAAATATATATTTTAATGCGTTTAATTATAGTACTTTAAATTTGTGTTTAAATTAAAAGTTAGCCCTGTGGACAGGAACAGCTTTTGTGTCTTAAAAATTACCAATAACAATTACAGTGACGTAACATTTAATAATACAGTATATTAATGTGCTACTAAGTTTATTTAAAGATATCATAAAGACGCCTGTGAACTGTTTTTGTTTGATTCCATTTTAATTTTTAAAACTATATTTAATATAGAAAATACAAGGTTTTTAAATGAGCGTACAATCACAATTTCATATAATAAGAAACGCTCAAAATTTATAAAGATAATTTAAAAAAAAAAATTTGAAATGCAAAAATAAAGCCATTTTAAAAATCAAATGTGTAAATTAATTTTTTTATTCATTTTGTTTGTTTATTCATGTCATTGTTCTAATCTATTTCTCGCTAAACACATATTTTCTAGCTTTATTGTGTAAAGAAAAATTTTGAGAAGCTTAACTTCCGTAACTAACATTATAACATAGAGCGCTTTTGTTGCTAGACAGAGCGCTGTATTCGGAAAAAATAAGATTGTCATTTCTAAACCTCTGTTTTGTCTCGGTTTGTCTTATCTGCTGAAGTCATTCAACCGAAACATCCTCTGCATTGTCCGGCATTGTCCTGCCTTCTCTTTTCTAGCCTAAATGGAAAGACATGTTATCCGAAAAAAAAATCTAGCCAATTTTAAACGAAAACCGCCCAACATACTGATCCATAATATCCCAACACAATTACGAGATAATATTAAATAACATGTTTTACGGAACGGGAGACTGTCTACAATCGTTTAATATGAGCCCTGTAGCAAGTTAACCAAGAAGAAGAACGAGAATACGGCCCAAGATAAAGGGACAGAGAAATAACCAGTCTATTTACGAAGCCCTCAAAATGATGGCGCTAGTTATTGAAGATTATTTTTTTATACAAAATAGAAATAATATACTTTTTTTCCTTAGAAACTCCGTTTTAGATTTAGTTTTAGTAACACCCTCTAAAAGCTTTATAATTCTGCGTTCACAACAGTCTGCTGCCAGGTTATGTGTACCTACAGCTCAGTATCAAAATGAGTAATATTTAAAACGCGGATCTTAAAGCTGGAATCGATACTGAGTGTCTAAACGCAGCCAAAGAACACCGAGCTCTGTGTTAGCTACGAAACCTTTATTACTTTAATTTTCGCCATTA